TTCTATTATAATTGATTAAGGAAATGTGAATGAAAATGAGATTACCAAATAATAATTTAAAAACATTAGATATAAATCCAGAAAAAATGAGGGTAAACCAGGTAATTTAACCTTATCTGAGAGATGCCCTGTCACAGTAAAAGATGATGCTATTGGCAACAGAGTCAAGAGAAATCCCAGCAGAGATCTTTTTATATTCTTTCTTCCAAGACTTGCATAGTGAGGAATGTGACATTGGAAAGGAATTCAAAGTAGTGGAAGATGACATGTGGGAACTTAGTCCCAGGAGGAGCCAGACTAGCATTTCCATGTTATATATGAAATGTACTTTTAGCAGAAATAATTTTAAGTGTAACCTTTTTTTAAAATTTTATTTAAGGAGAAAAGAAAAACAAAGCAGAGAAAGGGTACAAGTTATACAGATTTACAGAAAAAAAAATAAACAGTAGGAAATCACTAGTTAATGGATTACATATTGTCATCTTAGAAATAATTGTTCAAGTCACAAAATTAAAGCTTGTAAAGTGGACATTCCAACAATGATACTGCAAACAGTTCTGTTCAATGATCCAATAAAACTCTGTGATATCATTTTCTTTCTTATACACTTAAATATACATGCAGTTATATAGTTTAAAGCACTTTCTTTTCCTCTCTTTTGTACAATAACTATTACACATTTTGGGTTTCATTGCTCCCATGGTTCTTATTACTTTTTTGGAAGAGAGTAAAACCAAATGTGACATAACAGAACAGAATCAGTCAAGTCAAAAGGGTGGACATAATAGATAATGTATAAACATAATACAAGGTGATCAACAGTTACCATAATGCCTCCTGCTATCTCTAATAGAATTGCCTATATCATTAGTTATAATAAAATTGAACAAAACAGTAAAGAATAAAACCGACAAAACCAAAACATTGGAGACATTGTAGGTCTTCAAAAGTAGATAAAAGTCAACGAGAATAGGCGTTATAATGAATCTGATTATCTTCACAGCTGATGCCTAAACTTTCGAACCTGATACTATCCAGCAAAACAGAATAGGGGAACATCAGTCAAAAACAAGATGGTGAGAGTAATACAGGGCTTTAAATCGAGATAATGGAAAGTCAAAGTGGGTTACTATAATATATCCTGCTATTTTTATTTATTTTTCCTTTAATTAAAAGGATAAAAATAAAAAAGTAAATAATGGAGTGAGATTGAGATAAAAGAGGGCATAACAACGAAACAGCGCAGATCAAAACATAACCATTTAAGCAGAATAGTGTTTAACCACCAGATAATCCTGACCTAAAAGTAGTTACCATATTGTCTCTTTCCTTGAAATCCTTGAGTACAACTTCGTATACTGTAGCATTAAGTATATCAAAACAATGTAAAACCGTGTAATCTTGAAAAATACTAACATATCATCGCAGTGGTCATTGAGAAATTAAAGAATGTGTTTGATGCCTATGCTGTTCATAACATAATAAAATGGGAAGAAGCTCATTCTCAAGACCAACCTTGAGAGGACACCAGGAACTTGAGCAAGGTATCTGTGGTTTCCAAAATATGTGCTGTGGTTGGCTCGTTTCATAGAGCTCAGAGAGGAGATTACTGTGAGCTGAAATCAGGTAGTAATCAGTTCATGGAAAATGATCTGTGTTACCAGAGCTGGGTTTTCCTATGCGTTAGGTGGTGATGGTTGATACAAGCAGATATTACTAAGATTTTCTGATTGTAGCTATATTATGGAACTGAAATGTTCCCTAAACATGAAATGCTAAAAACTTCATCCAGGGCTATGAGATTTTGGAAAATGATTGGATGACGAAGGCTATGGTATCATCAATTGGATTACATTCATACCATATTTGCATTGATAATAATTTGATGGCGTTATTCAGAGATGATGACAAAAAGGAAGATGTCTTCCCTGACAGGAGGATTAAATTAGGGTGAACTTGAAGATGCTGTGTGGTTCTAAGACCTATCCTCTCTCGTTTGCCCACATGCTCTGATTCCTGGCTGGTGGAAAAGTTTTGACAGGGTTCTGCCTTGCTGCTAGGCCACAGCAATGAAATCAGAGAACTGTGAACTGAACCACAGAATCAAGATGCCAAAATGAGTCTTTTGTCTTTTAATTTGTTGATATCACATGCTTACTAAATGTTTGAAAAAAATACAAGAACCCAAGGTGATTTTATGAAATCTTTCAGAAATGATGGCACTATAAGTTTGTATTTATTTAAAAGACAAAAATACTTATTTTAATAATATGTTATTGTTGTATGCATACATATGTATTTATATATTATTTAGTATTTGGCATTTATATTAGCACAAATTTCATGCTAATAATACTGATACTTTTTGTATATTCCTTCTTACATTCATGAACCCTAGTCCCCTCTGGTTAAAACCTTTATATGATGTAAACATTATCTGCCATTTCTAGTTATTTCTTTGTTAACTTATGTACCAATCAACAAAATATTCTTTTAATTTCCAGAAGTGTATGCAACTTTTGTGGCATGATACCTAATGTTTTATCCTGAAATTATTGTATTGTTGTTTTTTTATTTTTAACTCCTCTGTTCTAATTTACAGGTCATTGTCTTATTTTACTGAATATATAAGCTCCTTAGAAGTGTGTACATTACAAAATGTCCATTGGTGTTACAGTACTACTGGAAGACTGGAGTAGTTTATCCACTTTCTCACCATCAAATTCAACTTAGCATATTTTCAATTTAAACCAATTTATGAGAGGTAAGAGTGTTGCATATGACTTTACCTTTACAACTTTCAAGGGATCTTTTAAATGAAACATAGACATTAACCATGGAAGGCTTCTTTATTTGAAATTATTTGTGTATATAGGCTATGTAGTGCCCTGTGGGTTAATAGTGTGCAATTTATTAGTTCAACAAGCATATAATTATCAAGTCTGTGGCTGACTTTTTATCACATTTCTGATTGAATCCTCTAAAAAAATAAGCATGAATATGCATAAATTTCATTATTTTCTTTAATTTCAATTTTAAGCAACTCTTCAAGACCAGTTAATATTCATTCACATGCCGTGTATGTCAGCAACCACACAGCAGGTCTTTCCCAATATACATTGTTGGACCAAATAAAAGTCGTGGACAGAGTGATCTTAATTGAGTGTTAACATTTGAAAGAAGGAATTCCATGTTATCACAAGGTATTGCGTACCATAATAATAAAAATTTCCATGGTACAATGTAGGAATATATTTGGATAGGAGATATTGTGTTTTTCTATGTTGCAGTGTTGTTAAACTTTGTAAATCACCTTAAAAACCTTTTGGTTGCATTTTACGGCTCAAGGGTGTTATACTAATAATGAATAAAGGGACTAACAAATGAGTTGAAAACTTTAAATGTAATGAATGAAGATGGATGTTGAATGGAAAACACAATCACTTTATTCTTTGCACATTGCAGTGGGAATGCAGAGTGGATGCAGGCCTGACAGCACTGGCACAGTGGAGCCCGTTTCCAGGTGTTTCATCCCTTGACCTGGGCAGTGAGGACAGTGGCCTCAGCAGGTGATCACAGTGTGTTCTGGATCAAAGAAATCAGAACCAACACTGAGCAGTTGGCTGGGCTGAGAGATACTTCTAATGATGGGTGTGGACTTGATCTGGGAAGAGAGAAATCCACCAGTGAGTTCTGTTGAATGAAACGAATTGTGCTTTTGATGTGGTCACCAAGTTTAAGTACAGGCCTGATAAGTTCCAGTGGCTGAGAGGATCAGATTAAAGAATAGGTTCTACACCTGTGCTTGGGAAGTATGTATACACTGAGAGTGGAGTAGCTTTACCCTTCCTGGTCAGCCCAGTGATGACCCTAGAAATGTGAAGATAACAAACAATGATGTGATTTCTGCATGGTGAAAAGTATGAAGGAAATTACTTCAAATTGGAGTATGTACCAATGACTCTAGGAAAAATGGTCTGGAATTGTGGGGCAATATTTATTTCCTGTTGATTACAAAGTATTGATCATGCCAGTAAGCCAAAACTATGAAATTATTTATAAATATAGTTTGGACAAACTATCAAACACAATGTAGGGAAGCTAAGGAAGGTAATGCACAACATGTTAAGGTTACAAAAGGCACGGGCCTATGTGGGCACTTTGTGCATTTCAGCTGGTACCAGTGTGTGTATAATGAAATATATACACATATTGTAATGAACACTATAAAAACAAATGGGTGATATTTTATTTATTTTATTTTATTTCAAAAATGATAAAACCAAGGAAAATGAAACAGAATAAAGCCAATCAAAAATAAGCCAGTATAACTGATACAGGAATTCAAAACCTTATGAAACCAACAATAGTTGCCTTAATGCTTTCTGTTGTCTTCAAAATAACAGAAACAATAAAACTTAATTTAACAGAATACATTAGAATAGAATAGAAATAATAAAGTGAAAGCCATAAACACAATAAAGGACTTCAAAACAAGCCACTAATAAATCCAAAGTGGCTACCATAATATGTCTTGTTATCATTCAAATAACTTCTTTTGCCATTAGATGTAACATAATGTAACAAAACAATGGAGACTAAAACCTAACCCAACAAAACAATGAAAATGATATGGTTTTCTGGATGAGTCACTTCCTGGTGAGGCCTGGATCTCTCACTACATGCAGTGTGGGAATGGAGCCAGCTTGCTGAGAGAGGTTTGGATGTGGCTGTCTCCACCCTGGCAGCATCCTGCACATAGCACTGCTTTCCAGGGAGGATTCCCCTCTTTGTGAGGCCCTTGTTTCTCTCCTATGTAGTCCACAAAAATCAAAAGGGTGATATTTTATCTCTGATTTCAATACCTCATTGGAGAGGATTTTTTGTGTTCCTTATTTTAAATAGTCACTAAGGAGAGACTTGTACTACTAAATTAAACATGCCATCATATTGTCTTTATACTGACATACAACATTTCAATTTTAATTTTACTACAAATTTTAGGGTGAAAAAAGTGCTTTATTCCTAAACTGGTTTTTCCCAAATCCTTTTCTCATTGCTTCTTTGACATCTTTGTTCCTCAGGCTGTAGATGATGGGATTCAGCATGGGAATGATGATGCTGTAGAATATGGACACTGCCATGTCATGCTCCAGGTTGTAGCTGGAACTTGGTCTCACATACATGAAAAGAACAGTTCCATGGAAAATGGACACTGCAGTGAGGTGAGAGCCACATGTAGAGAAGACCTTTCTCCTCCCTTCTGCAGAGTGTGTCCTGAGAACAGCTGACAGGACAAAGCCGTAAGAGATTAGGACAATTAGTACAGTAAACATCTCAATAGAACCAGCAAAGTAAAAGAGTAGAAGTTGATTTGTGTGAATGTCAGAGCAAGAAATCGCGAGCAGGGCAGGGATGTCACAGAAGATGTGTTGGATTACATTAGATGCACAGAAGGACAGACTGAATGTGGCCATTGTGTGCACAGTGGCATGTAGAATCCCTCCAAAGCAGGAAGCAAGGATAAGTGGCACAAAGACCCTGCGTGCCATGCTGACAGAATACAGGAGCGGGTTGCAGATGGCCACATAGCGGTCATAAGCCATTGCTGCCAAGAGAAAGCATTCTGTGGTTCCAAACAGTACAGCTAGAAACATCTGCACTGCACATCCAAGGAGTGGAATGACTTTGTCCTTTGACATGAAATCTACCAACATATTTGGGGTAATCACCGAAGAATAGCAGGCATCCACAGAGGACAAGACACTCAGAAAATAGTACATCGGGTTGTGCAACCGTGAATCCACAATGACTAGAACAATCAGTCCTAAATTTCCTAGGAGAGTGAAAAGGTAAACTGCTAGAAATAGGAAAAAGAGGACGAGCAGCAGCTCAGGGTTGTCAGTGAATCCCTTCAGCACAAATTCAGTGACTTCGGTGAGATTCTTCATGCTGCCAAATCACAGAGAAAACCTGAAGATATTTCTGAGTGATAGATTATGTTTCTAGGAGAAAGTGAACTTCACTGTAACAAAAAACAACAGCAATATTGCATATATATATATATATATATATATATATATATATATATTTCTGTATGCAAATGTTAGTGTCACTGTGTGCAGACAGCATACAATTTCCCAGCCACACACCAATATAATGTCACTATATGGTAGGAAGAGAGCTGTTATCATTCACTACAAAGTCCAAAAATAGGTGTTTGCACAGTTCATAAATTAGTGCCATAAATCCTAAACCCCACATCAACTGATAATGTTTCTCTGAATAATATTAGCTGGTTTTACTTTAAATCACTTTACAGAACAAAGTGACTATCTAAAGAATGCCTTATTCCCTGATATTGCAAGAGATGTTATATCAGAAGTATGACACTGAAATAGAATTACGACTCCATGTGTCATCAGCTGTGATTTAACCTATCATCTTTAGGCTACAAAGAATTAATACTTATTTTACAGGACTGCAGTAACACCTGAGGAAAAATTATGTTTTAAGTTGAATCTTTCAAAAGCTATAATAACAAAATAAGCTAAATTTGTTGGCATTTCTGAGTATTCTGAGGATGAATTCAATGAAGGATATTTTGAATTATGATTTTGCTCTTCTGCAAACTACATATATATGTGTGTGTGTGTGTGTGTGTGTGTGTGTGTGTGTGTGTATCTATATATAAACATATGATTTTTTAAAAATTTATGCATGCAATTTACCACAATTATGCTTTCTCTATTACAAGAAACTTACATTTGCTTAGAATAATGATATTTTAGCTAAATTTTCAGAGGCAGGTATTTACATTAGCTGAGAGAATAAAAGTTATGTTGGTATAATACTGGCACAAAATCAAAGGATTCAGAGTTTTAAACAGAAATGACTACGATGCCTGACACTTGAATAATAAAAGTTCAATTTCTAAATTAAGTATAAATCTACTTCTATAATTTTGACTTGAATAGAATGGCTAAATCTCCAGATATATTTGGTTTTATGATGAAACTAAAGTTTCCAATATGAGAAAAATAATAATAATATCCATTTACTCAGAACTTGTTACAAGAATGGATTTTGTTTATACTATTTTGTTTCATGTTTAGGGAAGTTTCATTGGAAATAGTTTCAGGATCCATCTAGGCAGAGGCACATGCCTGTAATCTCAGTTCTCAGGATGCTGAGGCAGAAGGATTGCCATAAGTACAACACCAGCCTGAACCACTTGATGAATTTAAGGCCATCCTGAGATCCATAGGAAACTCAATGCAAGCCTGGACTACATAAATAATAATGATAATAATAATAATAATTTCAAAGTCCAGACTGAGTTCCTAGCCTTCCATTTAGTATATTACAACCCTGCCTTTTTCCCTGTCTTTAGTATATTTCAGATTTATAGTTTTCCCAGTGATTTAAAGCAATCCATGAGTCTTGATATGCTGAGATTTTTAAATAACATAACCTTGAGAATTACAAAAGAAATAGTTACATCAAGTAGATAACATCACTTTTACAAAATCTCAGTGATTATTGTTTTCTTTATAATATCAAATATAATGCCTCTGGTAGTTGAGTATCTCAAATGATTCTTTACCCTATTAATAGATTTCATCATTTTTTCTTAATTTTAACTATATCAGCCACCAAAATTTAATCATACATTTCATAAAGAGCACACTTGTTTACTTATATCAGTATAATATAAATATTTTTATTTGCTTTCTTTCCAATAAGTGTTTGTTTAAGTCTTTAGGCAGAACTCTGGATAAATTATAACCTGATGAGTACATATTATTCAAACTTGCAACAGGCAACAGGTATTTACTACAGTACTTAGTTTTTTATAGCAATGTAGTTTCTAAAAATGACATGAATATACTTGAAATTTTAGGTTCCACCTGCATAGACATACTTTAAAGAACTTGAAGTTTTCTCTTACCCTAGGTACAGCAAAGGCAGGTTTGGCTACACTGAGAAGGTGGTTAAAAACTGAGGTTGTTTTTATCCAGGGATTTCACTGTTGATGTATCCCCAGATGTTCCGAGGGGACTAGGCTTCAATTATCTGCTGGTGCAAAATAGTAACTTAATGATTTACTTCATAATTTTACAAATAAATACACTGGGAATAAGTCTAATTTGTTGCTATTTGATGAGTAGTATATTCCAGACACTGTTTAAACTATTTTGAGGTTTTAATTTTTACATTTTAGGACATGTTTTCAGTAACATGTTAGTGTTTAAAATGCTTCAGATTTGCATTTATTGGATAATAATTTTGAATATGTAATTTTATAGCCCAATGAACATTTTCTAATAGAAGAAAATTAAGTTTAAGCGCTTTGTCTATTTACAAACTAGGCATATTTTGCTATTGAGTTTTGAAGGTTTATTATCTACTTTCATTATTAATCCCACATTAGATTCATGATTTACAACTATTGTCTTCTGTTTTGTAGTTGCCTTTTCCTTGTGCTGTATTTTCCTCTGTGTCATGAAGAAGGGTTTCATTTGATCTGGTCTTGCTCCTCCAATTTTCTTTAGTTTCTTAACTTTGGTGCCACGCCCAAGAAATCATTGTCAAGGCCAAAATCCTAAATCTTTTGCTTAAGATGTATTCTAAGGCTTTAGATCGAGGATTTATACTTCCCTCCTGCATTCATTCTGAGATGAATTTTCTATATGGTATAAGAGGAGATTATCATTTCATTGTGTTGTTTGTTCACATTGTCTCCCCAAAGTCATTTATTAAAGTGAATTTTCTTTCCTCCCCTGTGTTGATGATTAGCAGACTAGGTTTGTGTAAAATACTTGGCTGTTAATTGGGTTCCATTACTCAAAAAATATTTTTTGGGCAGCACGCTCTCTTAAAACATCTTTTATTTACTTAACTGAAATTTATTTTACCAAAAATTACATGTTAATCAGGTACCATAGGATTTTTCTACACATATGCACATTATGTAATGTATAAAATCAGTTAAATATTTTATCTCCTCAAAAAATAATCATTTCTTTTTAATGAAACATTCATAATTCAAATGCAATAAACTTCTGGACAAGATGCTGAACAGAACCTGTGTCATGCAGGAGGAAAAGATATTCACAGGGCACATTCCATGCAGGACAGAGTGACCTTTTGCTGTGTGCAAAGACAAGCGCTGATCCAAAGACTAAGTAACTACTCTACCCTTCCCAAATATCTTAGCATTCAAGGAACAGAATGTGAACAAGGCCACATGCCTATCATGTGGAAGGCCAATTTAAATGCTTGGGTAAGAAGGTAATTGTTCATTGAATAATTTAATACATAATTTGATACACATCATTATGAATTGTCTCTTACAACCAACTGCCTGAAAAGTGCTTTCTTATAATGAACAATGCCCAGGCAAACCCTACAGCCTTGTTAGACTGTATGGACACTGAATATGACTTCATAAACCAAACCTCTCTATTCCCTAAATGATACCCCTTCTGCATCCCATGGAAAGTAAGTGATCTGTAATTTCTAGAAACTCCACCTAAAGGTGCTCTTCACCAGTTGCTTTATTGCCACTAAAGGGACACTCATGACTCTTAAAGAGTTCTGGCAGAAACATTTCAATGTCTTCCACTGCATCAACTTCATTGATAAAGCCTGGGAGGATGTTATATACTGGTCCTTAATATAGCCTTGGAAAAAATGTCCAGAATGTGTCACTAACTGTGACTTTGAAGAGTCTGATGTGAAGATACTGGAGGAGACTCTGTCTGTGGACAAAAGCATGAGTCGGGACATCAATGCAGGCATAGAGGAGCTTGCTGAGCACCATAAGGAGGAACTGACCATGGAAGAACTTGCTGGACTCTAGAGTGAGCAGCAGAAGTCTCTTTTAGAGGTGCATCCACTAAGGAAGAGAAAGATGAGGAGGAAGTCAGCAGTAATGTGAAAAAATCCATTATGGAAAAACAGAATGAGTGCTCGGATTTCTTTGAGAAGCACCACATCAATGTAACTGTAATGAACAGAATGTTGACTCTGTTGACAACACATTCTCTCATTTCTGGAGGGTTATGTGGAGCAGAAAATTGAAAGTGACATTAGACAGAGTTTTCATCAAAATTGGCCCTGCATTGAGGAGACATAGAAGAGAGGAAACTCCTGGAGATTTCCCCATATCCTAAGGAGGGGAAACTCTCCCTCCAAACAAGCTTCTCCCCACCTACCTTCTGTCTTCCATGCCAGAAGCTGACTCAAGCCCAGGTAATTTTGTTTCACCTCGTACTGTATGAACTGTACTTTTTGGTTTTGTGGCTAAAAGTCCACATGGTTCAGAACACTTTAACCTTATTTAACTGTAATTTGTTGGAAAATTGATTCACTTTACAACCAAAATCAATTCACAACCATATTCAAAGGCATCTGGATGATCTAACTTTCTCGACCTCTATTCTTAGGGCTCAGAGAGATTAACCTTGTTTGCATAGAATTTTTTGAAAGCATCTGATTCAATTCCTGCCCAACGCAGTTTGTGAATTTATGGTGGAAGAAAATAAGCTTGTGTTTCAAGTTACTACTGTAGTTTTAATTTGGTAGGGACCTCTGTTCAGTATTTCTGTACAGAGGTTACATTCTTGCCAACAGTGTATGAGGGTTCCTTGTTCTACAAACCCTGGACAGCACTTGTTATCTTTTGTCTTTTTGTTAATATTAACACTCACTCTAATGAGCTGATTACTCTTTGTGGATTTGATTTGCTTTTCTTCATCAGGGAAGTTAGTAATATTAAATATATTTTATGAATCTGATATATCGATCAGTTCTCCCTAGAGAAACAGGTTTTGTATAAGAAATAAAAATGTATAAAGATTTACAAGGTAGGCTTATAATGAGTGCCTACAATGTAATGAGTATGAAAGAATGCAAAAATAATGCCTGTGCATTACAGATCCAAAAGATGCAGTTGAAAGCTTTGAGCTCAGTG